AACCTCACCCTGACTTGCCAGAGAAGGTCCATCGGTTCCCGTCTTACAACTATAGTCCCTATGAGTATATTTACAGTGCAGCTGGAAGTGAGTTTCCCCCTTTCCCCAGAGAAATAGATTCATTCTTGGCTTGAGCTAATGCACTAAAAAATAGCCATGTGGACAATAAAGCACTGAGCTAAGCCACCCAACCTCTGACTCAGTCTAAGGTTGAGTTACTAGCCCAAGCCTCTGCTGGTGCTATTTTTCATGTGCTAGCTTGAGACAGTGCAGGTCTGTCTACCTGGGTTGGGAGGCATGTGTTCAGCTGCACTGTAGCTAGGATGGGTCTACACTGCACCCAGAGCTAGACATAAGCTATGCAAATTGCTTAGCTTATTTCCAGTTCATTTCAAAATTTCAAAATTTGGCACTGTCTACACAGTACTTATTTTGAAATAAATCGCTATTCCCAAACATCCCTTACTCCTCATGAATGAGGTTTACAGGAACGTCGGAATAGCGAGCCTGTTATATTTGGAAATAAGAGGCATGCTTAAAAGGAAGAATAGGTATTTCAGAGTACCTTCAGTAGCCCAAAATAGCACTGCTGTGTAGAAGTAGCCTAGATGCATGCTGTCAGTTATCATTAGCAGCACTTGAGAAACAAGAGAAAACAGGATGACGAACAAGCACTGGAAACTACATAAGCATTACAATGCAAATCTAAAACCCCTATCTGCAGTGCAAATCCAAAAGTGTCCATGCGAAGTTTAAATCAGAAATGCGTAAGTCTCTTTCTTTCTCACTTCTGAGCCTTTTCTTTTTCTTGCCTTTTTAATGCTGTCTATGCCAAGGAGTTTAGGGTTCTAAATCCATGTAAAATGTTTTACCACAATCCTGTGTATTTTTTGACCATTTTTTTGTTCCACTTTTTTGTAGTAGTAACCAGAGCTGGCCTTACCATGAGGTGAACTGGCCTCAGGTGCCAGACTATGGGGGAGCAGGGGGGATGCCGCTAGCACCCAGAGAATTGAGACCTTTCAAAGTTTTGGCCCAAGCGAGGGGACATGGGGGTGTCATTTGAGCTCCCTGCTTCAGGTGCCAAAATGTTGTGGGCCAGTCCTGGTAGTAACCAAATAATGATAATAAAAATCATTTTCATTATTTTTGGCAGTGGAAAGGGGGAGGGGTTGTGAATATAGATACATAAAATAAATAATTTGGCTTGACATAATACCTTGTGTTATGATATTTAATCCCACAATTCCCTTGAGAGATATACAGGTCAAGAGTGAGTTATTTAGGATTTACTTCACCCACTATTGAAATATAGCCACTGCTGGCCTGCATGAACTCACTAAATATCGGCAATACATACAGCAATACTGCACAACAATCTAAAGACAGAAGTAAAGCAGTATCCAAATGAAAATGTAGGGGGAAACTTAGATGAGCAAAACATGAGTTTGTTTAGTTAAATTGACCCCAATTTATAGAAAATCATCCTTACTATCTTTGAAAACAGCAAATAGGGAGCTTGGTTTCATGTTTGTCCAGAAGACAGACATTAATAAACTAAAAGAGTGAGATCTAGTCTTTTTAATTATTTAATCTGTATTTCAATTTCTGAAGCCTCAAATCAAAAAAGATGGAGGAATAGCTGTTATTCTTCTGTTCAGACTAAGCATCTATTTTCACCCCAAGTCATTTTTATGATTAATGATTCATTCATGATTATGAGATGTAGCAATACCCTCTCAATTAACAACTATTTATCAACAGTACACCAATTTTTAACGCAATAAACCTGATTTTCCTGCTTGGAATTGTTAGTAAATAAAGGGTCTGCCCCTTTACATGCCCCCCCTCTCCAATTCCCCACTCCAATGGCATATCATTAATGAGGACAATTAAATTGTTTTGGCTGTGGCACAGCAATTTGACTACTAAGTCTTTGTTACTCAGTGAAAAAATGCTCCAAAGCAGATTTCACTTGGTATGCTGTAGGCATTTCTACAGCCTCTGTCAAAGGGCTCAGAGAAAACCTTCCTTCCTTCCTCTCTTTGTTTCTCAGCTGCACTGCTGAGACATTTGAGGGTTACAGTTGTTTTAGTGAATGAAACGCGAGCCAGAGCCACATGCGAAGAAATGAATTTATAGCTATTCAACTATTTTGCTGTCACAAGATCCTTAAAGTCAACATAGAACCGGGAGGTGGGGGGGAGGGGAGGGAAGCCTGTGGGCTATTGGAGGTAACCACAGCCTGTACAAGAATGATACAATTATACCAGAATCCTCATATGGTCTGTTTAAAAAAATTGCATCATTTCCTATTTCAGAGAGAGAGAGAGCTTCAACAAGGTATGAGGCTGGAGGCAAAAATCATTCACAGCAGAGACAGAGGCCTCACACAGATCCTGTGGGTGTAGCCAAGACTCCTGATTGGTGAGCCCCAGAAAAGGCTTAGCCAATGGGTTTACTAAGAAGCCTAACCATTCATGAAAGCCAGCAGGGCACTCTTTTTAGCTTACAGAACAGGAAGTGGGATGAGGGGGGGAAGGGACTGTCTGTTATCACTTTCCATCGAGGTTTCCACTGTAGCTAAGCAAAACTCTGAACTTTACATTCTGATTTCATTTATGCAAGACATCAAAAAGCCTGGCTTTTGAAATATTTTTGGAATTGTGCTAAAGCACAGTTTAAGTCTAGGGGGCCACTTGTTTGTATACTGGAAATCAAACCCTTGTCTTTTTCAGTATACTCTTGCCATGAAGTCATTTTTTGTGCTGATTGAAATCATCTGTTTTCAGTTCTCTGACAAATTAATTGAACTTTCCTCTGACTCAGGGGCCTTCTGACTTTTGAAGCAGATTTTGTCTACACGCCGTCTCCCAGACGAACACAATTTAATCTTCTAGGCTTTAAATGAACTGTACGTTTCCAGAAAGCCAATGAAAGAAGCGTTTGTTCTGGTGATAGCTTTTCAGCTTTTACAAATATGGCACGAGAATAGAGGCTTATAAAATGTTTATTTTACTGCAACTGATAACTAACTCCAAAAAGTGTTAGATCCTGCAATCCACAATAATGATAATGTCTTGTGTTATGGAGCTCCTTGAATTCAAGTATATTAAAAGAATGTTTGCTAAATGAAAGAGAGAGCTGTTCTAATATTGAACTGTGACAATATCGTGCCCAACTCTGTTTGTTGTGTTGATAAAATAACTGCTGGTTAAGGCCTTGCATTCCAGTTTAGATTTATCTTATACAGATGAGTCTGAGCTTAGAAATTTGATTAGGATACAAACTCCCCCAGAGTTTGAGAAGACTCTCTGACATAAATTGTATCCCTCACTTTTCAAATCTGTCATTTAAACCTAATGATCCAAAATATCTGCCCTCGTATATATGAATGCAACTGCACTGAAGTCCAGAAGCTGTACATACTCAACAAACGACACATTTTGACACAAAAAGTGGCTAATATCGGAAACGTGATTATCAACATAAGACAGCAGCAGATATCTGCATGAGTAAAGGCTCACCAAAACCACAGCTTGAGATCCTTTCTTTCTCAACATAGCTTACATACTCTGTGTGTGTTGTTGAGTCATACCTGCCAACTTTCCGGACAAAGGTCCCAATTCAGCAAAAATACTTTAAATATGAGCATGTGCTTTGTTGAACTGGGATAAAAAAAATAGAGCATGCTTAAAGTTAAGCACATGCTAAAGTACTTCTTTTTGTCTTTGCCTCTCTTTTCTGTCTGGGCCTACATCAACATAATATCTGAGTGTATCATAAACATTAATAAATTTGTCTTCAACTCTCACCTACAGCCCACTGGGGAAGGGAGGCATTGTTCATTCTTGTTTTACAGAAGTGAAAGGTGATTCATAGAGAGGTTAAGTCAGTGACTTGCACAATGTCACTCAAGAAGTATGTGGCAGCATCAAAAATTCAATCCAGATCTATAGCATCTCAGTGTAGTAGTACATTTGCCACTGCTACAAAAGAGTCAGAATGACTTTTTTCTGCCTCACGGATCATCCAGAAAGTTGATAGCTAGATTCTGATTGCAGATTCTTTACCTTGGCCTTACTCAAAACCTCAGCTGCACGCTTTCCCAAATGTCAGGAAAGTATATAAACAGATCCAGATTTGGACTTTATGATTTATCCTTTTTGTAGGCTTGGCCAAACAAAATCCCTGGTTCTGGATGCTTCTGAACTTTGGTTTACATTGGATCCATACATGGGTTTAACTTTGCAATGCTAATCTTTACTACAGCACTATTGAAATTTACAGGGGTGTCGGTTAAATATAATCTTTTGACTTGTAAACAGAGTCAAGTCAGTATAAGAGTCTCAAAAAAGCCTTATTCAATGTTGCTTTCCAGTTCAAAAGAATAGATTTGAAACTCTTCATTGTAACTTTTGCACAGTTCATTTTCTGAGTACAACTCAGCATTTAAATTTAAGTTTACTCTTAGAAATGTTAATGCTCTCAAAAAGATTACCAGAAAAATTTCTCAATGGAATGATATATTTTAGGATTTTGAATGGTTTGGAATGTACTTGCATAATATGGTTGATAAGGATATTCAGTTTCTTCGCTTAAGCTTTTCAGTATTTATTATGCAAGCTTAAGAGGTTTCTGAAAAACTTAGCGATTAGACATGAAATTTGCAGCTGTTCAAACTTTTTACTATCTGACCACAATAGTTACTGTAGTGCATAGAAAGTTTTCTGTTGTGAGTGTACTATTAACACTTCATGATTATGAAGCAATAAGAAACCAGTCATGGTTTCAGGCTTTTACTAAAAAAATACAGGAAAGGGATATTATTCAGGTGGACCATACATCTCTTTGCCTCACCTTCTATTTTGTGAGATGATATAAAATAAAACCTTACAAGAATATATATAGATATAGATTGTGAAAGCCCCATTGAAATCAATAGGAGTTTTTCCTAAGCAAGGAATGAGCAAGGGTCATTAGGTTGCTCTTTGTTTCAGGATGGGCAGTTCTGAAGATTAGCAATGCTAATATGTAAGGATGAAGAATTAAAGCAAGGAACCATTTTGGTAAGAATTTAGGTTAATATTAAAACATATATTGTGTGAAATCATGTTTGAAAGAGACAACTTGATTCTATTGGCCTATAATAATTTTTTGTTTCTTACAGCACAGTCTTCATGTGACAGTCATAGCAAGCACATATAGGCTACGTCTACACTGGCATGATTTTCCGGAAATGCTTAAAACGGAAGAGTTTTCCGTTATAAGTATTTCCGGAAAAAGAATGTCTACATTGGCAGGATGCTTTTCCGGAAAAGCCCTTTTTCCAGAAAAGCGTCCATGGCCAATGTAGACGCGCTTTTCCGGAAAAAAGCCCCTATCGCCATTTCCGCGATCGGGGCTTTTTTGCGGAAAAGACTACTGTGCTGTCTACACTGGCCCTTTTCCGGAACAGTTTTCCGGAAAAAGGACTTTTGCCCGAGCAGGAGCAGCATAGTTTTTCTGGAAAAGCAGCTGATTTCTTACAGTAGATCGTCAGTGCTTTTCTGGAAATTCAAGGGGCCAGTGTAGAGAGCTCGCAGCTTATTCCGGAAAAGTGGCTGATTTTCCAGAATAAGTGGCCCAGTGTAGACACAGCCATAGAGTTTAATTTGCAGATGTTTAAAAAGGCCTCTCATCCTGTTCTTAAAATATAGATGTCTGTATTTCCTGCAGTGTTTGGGCAATTTCCACTCCTAGGGTGTTTATTATGAAATTAACCCATGGACATAGAATTGGGATTCAGATTATCAGCGTGCATTATATAAAAAAGAGCATATTATATACATAGATAACCACGAACCAAGAGTAAGCCAATGTAATGTTGCATGCCTGAGTCAATAGAAAATCAATTGTTAGAAGAAGTTTGAGCTTCATCTCAAGAAGGGCCCCATGGAGGTCCTGATTCCATAGCTATGGAATGGTTTTATTTTCCCAAAATTCGTAAATCAACATTTGGTACAGCCTCCCACCTGACATTTTGTTCACTATGTCTCTCTGCCCCAATGGGATCTACTTGCAGCTGTCTCTTTCCTTCTTTCTCCATAAGGGGGAGTTAATCGGATCACATTCCATGCTCTCTATCCTCATCCACTGAGTCAGGGAGCAGGTTGTCAGGAAGATACCTGCCAGCATCCAACTTGCAGGCAGCAAGCAAAGGGAACTAGAAGTGTTGGCTGATCAGCAGTCTGCCTGAAGACAGAAACATCAGCAGAGGACTGTGGACCTAAAGAGACAAGCCAATGAAGCTGGCTAAAATCTCTGTTCATCAGTTGCAAGTAGTGAGAGAAGAAACCTCAAGGCCACCTGGACAATTTCACAAGAGCAGAAGCCTAGAAAGTGAAGCCAAGGTACCTAAATAGTATAGGGGAAACACACCTGCCTCCAAATCCTCTTTCCCCCCAAATAACCTGTCTTTCGTGATAAGCTACATATTTCACAAGAAGAATTGTTTTTGACTATGAGCCATACTTTTGTGTATTGATGTGGTACAGAAGTGAGCTTAAAAAGCATGAGAATGAAGGAAATTTCACAGGAATAGACTAAAGTAACTATCATGGCATAGAAGGCGTTATTGCTTCAGAATTTGGGTCTGGTCCGTTCTTCTATAACATGTGTAACTTGTAAGTTCCAGTGGAGGGGAAAATAGGCCTCCTAGGGCCAAACCCAGTTTACTTTACTCATTATGGAAATAATTCCACTAAATTCAATGTGATCATTCACATGAGTGAGTTAAAGAAGAGTTGTCCATTGATTATATCCTAAATATGCTGTTAAAAGTTCAAGTTTGTCATTGGAATACTGGCATGTCTCTAGCAAAATTACATGGGTTTTAATCTAAAATATACAATTCACTTTTAGGAGTAAAATTCAGTGAGACTAACTCAAGAACCTTTTGTTTGTTTGCTTGTTTGCTTGTTGTTTGCCAACATTCCTGCAAACTAAGTTTTGTTCAGGATAGTGAATTTTTGGCTAGTAGCCAAGATTCACCATGGAATCTATTTTGCAGTCAAAAAGAACTTCAGGCAGAAGCAGAAATAAAAGATAGGACCTGCCAGTCAGGGAACAGAAATAGTATAATTGTGAACAAAGTCATAGAACTCACCTGCAATATTGAGGTACCTGAAGCAATACTTGCAGTGAGCATTTCATGAACAACCCAGAAACTGATATTTGTTTGCACAAAGCATTTACTAAATGGCAAATAAATACCTAATATCACAATCTGGCCCAGTTCCTCTAAGGTATTTAGATACCCAATACCCATTGAATTCCATGGAACTTAGAGGCCCAATTTCTTCTGACTTGTGAACAAGAAAAATGATTAATTTGCTGGTTGAATGGTTTGTGGCAAATTATTTGGCCATCTCATGTAGAGGGCCAGTACAGCTAATTGTGCCATCGTTCAAGGACAATGCAACTGAGACTCAATTATTCGAGATGTTCAAAAGATATTTTTGCTAGGACCTATTTTGATGACAGATTATGTCAATTATACATTTTGGGAAACAGAAGTCACTTGATAAGGACTTACCAATAGTCCATTTAGCAAAACCACAAACACTTGATGACTGACTACATAGAGATGTCAGCTTTCTAGCTAGAGATGAGTAAACTTATTTGAATAAAATAAGAATTGACCTGAAGCAGGACCTAATGTTTCAAGTGAATGGAATGTTGTTGTTACTCAGGTCTGTTTGGTTAACCCTCCCCGCCCCCAACAATTTTTTATTTCCATGCATCTCTGCACTTTCGGCTAGAAACAGAAGCTGAAGTAATAAAATATCCCAAGAAAGGCTATTCTTGTGCGACTTCCGGCCCTACTGGACGCAGCAAGAACAGGAAATCTTACAAGCGAGACTGTTGTTTCATAATTTCCAACCCAGTTTTGCAAACTCAAGTGACTTCATATAGATAAACTTCTAAAAATGCATCCTTCAAACTTATCTGCAAAAGATGCAGAGGGATGAATAGTGATCATTCTGAGGATATTCACTCACTCTCAGGTCGAGACACCCAAAACATGTATTTCCAAACTTTATAGTTAGTCACGTAACACCTCATGTCATGCAAGAATCTAATACAAGTCAAGATCCCAACATCTCTGTGTCCACATGCAAACGAATTATGTAAAGAACTTTAATGGGGAAAAATCCTGGCCTGCTCAGTGGCTATGAGAGCTCTGGCCGTAGTACAAGGAACAGAGTCCATGATCGCAAGCTCCCATCCCTGCTGTGAGTTCACATTCCCCTGTTGCTGCACAGCTGTTTTCCATGAAAGCTCCTTGTGCCCCAGTGAGCTGAAAGTTTGGGGGGTGGAGCTGGTGGATTCAGGACTTTGCTGACCCACTAGCAATTTCTTCTGCAGAAGGAAGATGCAGCAGCAAGCTACTAATACCATCAAGATATGTACATAACAAAGCCTAGCCATAGGACCTCATTCTTATGGTTCTATTTGTTCCTTTCCTTCTATTTCCTCTGCATTGTTGTTACTTTTATGCATTGTGTCTTGTCTAAAATGTTGATTATAAGCTGGGCAGGGAAGTCACTGTGCCTGTTTATTTGCTTGTGAGATATCTGTCCTGCTCTGGGGCACCACCTCAGTAGCAATAATTGAGCAAATGCTGCTTTATGTGTTTTGTTAGCAGCTTTATGTTGTGCAATAAGAATTTTTCATAATAAAACCAGCGATGGCTAAATTATCAGTATAAAAGTACAGAAAGGGAGTCTTCCCGCTGACTTCAGTGGGCTTCGGGCCAGGCCCACAGTGAGATGCGGATCTTAAAACCATTCAGAAATATTTTGCAGAAGTTATGCAGTTAAGCATAAAGATGGACACACACGCTGTCAAAGATGATGACTCAGATATAAGCCCTTCCTGCAATGTCACTCTCGAGAACAAATGTCTTCCCTCTCAGTAACTGATACAGTATTTCTGGCTCTGCAGCTGCGATACCAGATTGCATTTTCAGTATTCCTTTGGCAATTTAAAAACCTTGTAATCATCTGCTTCAACACAGAAAGCCAGTCAAACTGCCAATATAGTGCTGCCGCTCTTTGTTTCCCTCACGCACATCCAGGATGCAGCTTTTTAATTCAGTGCAACACTTGGGACATTTGGAGATGGAATGCAACCACTTGAAACTGTTTGGTTTGTCACTTTTGGATTTGCTACATAAGGATATGTTAATACAAACAGGGCCTGTTTATAATATTAATCAGACAAAGGAAGAAATTCCTCTGATGTCTGTGTAATGCAATGAGCAGACTTCTTGATTATTAACATATTGATTGTCTATTCTTATTTCAGATGTTAGCTCAGGGATGGGAGAAGAAAAATATGAGATGCATGACGTATTTGGGATTCAGTCTGTGAAACTGGAAAAAATATTTATATGATTAGATTGCATTTTTATGTAATATTTTCCTTTTATGTAATATTTGGATATGCAACTGAACTTTTCAGTACTTACCCAAATCAAACCACACCTCTAAACTTTAGAGCAAACATGGTGAGAGATTAAATGAAAGGGACGTGTCTCCCCAGTCTTTAATAATGCTCTTGACGTCCCATTAGTGATGATATAAGCGTGCCCCCCCCGCATTTATTTCTTTAGACTGAGCACTTAAGCACATGCTTAACTGTAAGCACTACAATAGGACTACTCAAAGGTTAAAACCTAAGCATGCGCTTAAATGCTTTCCCAGATCAGCATCCTCCTAATCCTTCCTCCTAATCTTTAGAGCGTCTCACCTCATTATTGATAACCAATTCTTTGGTTGAAAGGCACACTGGTAGCTGCAAAGCAAGGAATCTTAAACATTTGCACAGTTTGATCATGCATGAAAACAGTCCATGAAATGCAGTGCACAACAGCCAGCATGCTTAATGTTCCTAGCCAGAAATAACTTCAATGGGTTTCGACTGTTATATCCTGTCACCAGTTACTTACCAGCTTACAATACTCTCATTATTAATAATGCACATTTTTTGATGCCTTAGTCATAGGAAAAGCAGCAAATACTTTTTGCATTACTCTGTTTTCACCCTCTAGGTCTTATCTCCTGCTTTAATTTACTGTTTGTTATTTTTAAAAGGAACTTTCACTTTTGGTTAGTTTCAGAGCCCACCCTGGATATCCCCGGGATGGGTTGAAGTGCATTAGATAGGATGTTAACTTGCATTAATGTGGAAACTTAGAATCCAAAAAGAACTTGTACCACTGCCCAAAAATGAGTCATTGTCCTTTTTCTCTTTTTAGCCAACTTCAGATTCAGAAGCTGTGAGACAGTTTCCTGCAGATAAGAGATAAATAGAAGGGAAACCTGGCAAAAAGATGATGGTCAAATTGCAAGATATCATTTCCTCCAAAGTTCCTACATACTAATTAACCATTCCAGACATATTTTCAACAGCATTTAGGGATTTCCTCATCAAAATAAACTTCCTCCCATGTTATCTTCATTTTTGGCATCTGGTAATATAGTTTACTATAAGAATCCTAATGTTGGGTTATATATATATTTGAAGTTTTGCCAGCATTGCATTAGAATCCTAGTGCCTGATCCAACTCCCAATGTAATCAAGCTGGATAGAGCCCCTGTCCTTCTAAGATTTTTTTTCACTTACGACTTGTCTAAAACAAACTACAGATGGATTCAAGTCATAAAGTTCAGATAAATATTCATTTCCGAAGTTTGGATCCTTGCATTGGACCCATTGCTTTAAAATACTGTTTATGCATTTCTCAGATCTTGCTTTGAAACAGAAAATATTGTCAGAATGAAAGTGTATCTGCCATAAACAATATTTTCATTATCTTCTCCTTAATTTTTTTCTCCTTTAGATGCTGATTTCTTAACTGCACAATTTGTTTTAAGGTTTCCCTTGAATGCAAACTTGTCATACCTGATTTGCAATCTTTTCTGTTTCAAGTGCTATCAATTATTTTCTAACTAGATGCTCCTGTGGGTTCAGCTGTCACTAAGAGCAAATTTGAGCACAATAGTTTGCTTCCTATTTCTCAAAGAATCTGAAGATTGTCAAGACTTGACAGGCAGCTCCAGTTTTAAGATGAAGCAGATAAGTTAGGTTTTTCTGTTAGGCACTTTTGAAGGGAAGGACATAAAAGGAAGTATTGTTTCTGGAGAAATAGTCATTATAGTGCACATTTGCATCTATTAAGAATAAACTGCACTTGCTTTGGGGCACAAAACCCAGCATATTTGCACTTCATTAAATGTGAAAATCTGGACTATTTTGATGTGAAAATACCCCCTCCCCTTGTTTTTTAAGAACCAGCACTCAAACACATTTGTGTTGTAATATTTATCTTGCAAAGATCTTGTTTAGGATACATTAGAAAAAATCCTAAAATAAAGTGTATGATTTAGAGTAAACATTGTGTACAAGAAAATACACGTGCATGTGTGCACATGCACACACAAACATAAACCAAATTAATCTTTGTTCAGATTCATCCAAATATGGTCTAAATTTATCCCTGGTATAATTCTATTTATTTCAAAGGAGTTACATATGTCATGGTAGAATGTGTCCTGGTGATTACTCTATTTACTATAAAGCAGAAACTAATGCTGAATATAAAGGACACTATGAATAACAATGTTATTACTTTTAGTGAATCACTTAGTCTGGCTCTCTTTATCTATTTGTAACTGTGAGATAATGTGCTGATCTTGTGCTTGAAAATGGATTAGAATAGTGCTCAGATTCAGCCTTAGTATGAACAGGTGTGGCAGCTATCACTGACTTTCTTAAACTAGATGTGTAAAGAAATGTAGCGCAATTGATAGAAAACTTCCTACTGTTTTAGCATGGCAGAGTGACAGTTACAAAGACATGTAATTATCTGTAGGGGAGATATGACTTATAAGACATACAGCATGAGCAGCAGGAAGTTTTGCTGCACCTCATCTCTTTTCTGAGAGGGCCACCTTTATGTTTGAGACGGAAGGTCAGTTTGTCTCCTTGCCCATTCAATCCTTATCCTTGCTACTGAGTATGCCAACAAGTGTGCCATCTAGTGTCAGTTGTAGTGGTGGGTTTTGTATGGACACTTGTCCACTACTAACTGGGCAAAGAACTTCCTTTATTTTTTATCTAGAGAGGGAAAGCTCTGATAGTCCAATGTGTCACTTGCTCATTATTTTGGGGTGGGTCCAATACCCACTGGCTTCAATGGAACTACTGACATGCCTAAAGTTACGCACATTTTGTAAGCATCTCACTGAATTAAAGACCTCATGTTAGATTCTGTGAGAGAAATTCTTCCTTCAGATATATTACTGGCACCTCACTGTATGAGCCAAGAACCCTCTTGAATCTAAAGACAGATTTTGACACTCTGGGTTTGCAATGAAAATGAGTATATAATTTTAAACTTTAAAACACTTGAAAATATTCAGAATACGGCAAACACCCTGCACAGAAATTTTATCTTGAATGCTTAAAATTAAGGGAAGGCATAAGCAACTTAAAAATGTTGATAAGACCTCTTGCACAAGAACCCTTGCACAAGATGTTCTTGCACAAGAAGCCGCCAGTGTAGACATAGCTTAGGTCATGCCTATAGCAAAAGACATATCAGATATTGAAATGATACAAAACTTCCACTTACCAAGAATATAGGTGTAACTCATATATCATGCATAGATTTTAAAATATTAAATATTAAAATATAATAAATATACCAAAATATTTAAAAATAATAAATAATGTCTTTATTAAGATTTCAAAAGAAAAATTTAATACATTCTTTCTTTTCTCTGTGGTGTTACAGAATTGTTTGCTATTTGTATAAAATGGTTTGTTTGTGAATAATCATGAATTATGTATAATGAATGAGGAGGTTACACCTATGTATTAGCCTTTGCAATGATAGCATCAATATTTGTATTATTCAAATGTCATCAACTGTAATGGTAAAACTTGTTGTTGTTCTGTTTCAGATGTACATGAATATTCATGTGTGGAAAATCATTACCTTCATGAATATTCATAGGGTGAACAGTTGGTCATGTATATTAATGTGTTTATCCTAAGGACCAATCTATTTGAATCTATGTAGATTAGCATCCTCTCTCAGCCAACCAGTTTGAAAGAACCCCTATGCATAATGCATGAACCGTACCTATAAAAGTCTGTACCGAGCCCAAAGTTGCCGTTGCGTCGGGGCATCGGGCTTAGGCATAAGTATAGGTCTAGGCATAGGTGAAAGAGAGAGAGAACGAGATGCGTATTGTCCTGCAAAGATTGTGTAAGATAAGATAAGTTAAGAGTATGAACAAAGTGGAAGGCTTTAGTCTATCTGTTTAGGCTTAGGTAGTTAGTTTTAGATAGGTTAGTTTTTCGTCGTTGAGACTGTTCGTCGGGCGCATCGAGTGTTAGTTAGGGTTTTAATTTAGGATAAGTGTAGGTTAGGTTAGCTACAGTTTAGGTTGACCATCGCCGGTTCCAGCTGCTCCAAAGCGCAGGAAGAGTCGTGATCAGCGGAAGGCGATTGTCGCACTCAATTCCAGCTGCTTCGAGGAACTCCTGGCCGTTCGTCTCCAAGGGCCTGTAAGAACCTACGGATCAAGGTCACCAGCTTCGGCTCCGTCAACCGCCGTGGGACTCCTGGCTGTTCCTCTTCCGAGGCTCAAAAAGACCAACGGATTGCAGGTCTCCAGTGACACTTCCATCGTCTCCACGCTGTAGTCTCTGTGGTAACTTTTATGTGTTTGTGACTAATTGTTTTGCTTGTTTGATCTTTTAAAATATAGTCTTGTGGTTGAAACTTACCAAATTGTCAGTGGTAATTTGAAGCACCACGTACCAATTAAGATTTAGAGAAACCCAATGATAGCTGTAGGAAGAGGGTCCGCACTTGTAATTTTCTCATAGGTTAATCAGGCTAATTTGCAATCAATTAGTGAACACCGTTACCTTTGCGCGCCGGGTAACAGTAGAAGCACCTGACATGATTGCAACTTATCACCACTGCCATTTTAACTGTCTTTAAAAGCCTCATTTGATTACAGTCATGATCAGCATGGATAAGTCAGGTACACATGTGTAGCAGCTTTAGTAATACAGCAACTGGGAACTGTGGGAATTTAAACATACAAATTATAGTGTTGCAAATCAGAGATAATGGGTAAAGTTAATTGACTTCAATGGAGATGAACCTGAAATTGATTTGGCTAAATTACTTTAAATCCGGAACACAGGAACTGTCTTCATAGAATGACCTGTCATCCAGTTGGTCTCATATCCTTTCTCTAAGAGCAACCACTATGAGCTACTTCAGAGGAACGTGCAAGAATTGTGCAGTGAGTAGTTATGGGATAACTTGCCTAAGGAAAATTTGCTCATAAAAAGCTGTTTTATGACCGGACATATAAAGGCATATCTCTAAAATGTTATTGGGTGTGCTATGACATTGAACTATAGACTTGGCTGCTGGACTCCTACCATTATAAACTTCTGCAGTGGATGTGAATGCCAAGTTTGTGATCAGAGAATGAAATGTCCAGAACCAAAGGTAAGACCAGTATGGTACACCTAATTAGATGTTGGGAAACCAATACAACAGTACACGGACAATTCAGGAAGTTTTTGGACACTATTGGGGACAACATCCTGGTACAAGTGCTGAAGGAACCAACTAAGGGCCGTTCTCAGCTTGACCTGCTGCTCACAATCAGGGAGGAATTAGTAGGGGAAGTAGATGTGGGTGGCAACCTGGGAAGCAGTGATCATGAGATGGTTGAGTTCAGGAATCTGATCAAAGGAAGAAAAGAGAGTAGCAAAATACAGATTCTGGACTTCAGAAAAGCAGACTTTGACTCCTTCAGGGAACTAATGGGCAGGATCCCCAGGGATGCTAACATGGGGGGGAAAGGAATTCAGGAGAGATGGCTTTATTTTAAAGAAACAACATGGGGGGGAAAGGAATTCAGGAGAGCTGGCTTTATTTTAAAGAAATCTCATGGAAGGCACAGGAACAAACTATCCCAATCTGCAGTAAGAAATGCAAATATGGTAGCCGACCAGCTTAGCTTAACGGTGAAATCTTTGGCAAGCATGAACACAAAAAAGGAAGCTTACAGGAAGTGGAAACTTGGACAGATGACTAGGGAAAAGTATAAATATATTGCTCAAGCATGCAGAAGTGTAATCAGGAAGGCCAAAGCACAACTGGAATTGCAGCTAGCAAGGGATATGAAAGGTAACGAGAAAGGTTTCCACAAGCATGTTAGCAATAAGAGGGTGATCAGAGAGGGTGTGGGGAGGTAACCTAATGACAGATGATGTGGGAAAAGCTGAAGTACTCAAGGCTTTTTTTGCCTCTGTCTTCACAGACAAGGTCAGTTCCCAGACTACTGCACTAGGCAGCACAGTGTGGCTGTGTCTAGCCCGGGAAGTTGTTCCGCAAAATCATCTGCTTTTGCAGAAAAACTTGCCAGCTGTCTACACTGGCGGCTTGAATTTCCGCAAAAGCACTGACGATCTCATGTAAGATTGTCAGTGCTTTTGCGGAAATACTATGCTGCTCCCGTTCGGGCAAAAGTCTTTTTCCGAAAAACTTTTGCACAAAAGGGCCAGTGTAGACAACAGAGATTTGTTTTCCGCAAAAAAAGCTCCGATCGCAAAAATGGCGATCGGGGCTTTTTTGTGGAAAAGCGCGTCTAGATTGGCCACGGACGCTTTTCCGCAAAAAGTGCTTTAGCGGAAAAGTGTCCTGCCAATCTAGACGCTCTTTTCCGAAAATGCTTTTAATGGAAAACTTTTCCGTTAAAAGCATTTTTGGAAAATCATGCCAGTCTAGACGTAGCCTGTAGGAAGGAGGTGAGCAGCCCTCAGTGAAGAAAGAACAGGTTAAGAACTATTTAGAAAAGATGGACATACACAAATCCATGGGGCTGGATCTAATGCATCTGAGGGTGCTGAGGGATTGTAGAACCATTGGCCATTATCTTTGAAACTCATGGTGATCGGGGGAGGTCCTGGACAATTACAAAAAGGCAAATGTAGTGCCCATCTTTAAAAAAGGGAAGAAGAATAATCCAGGGAACTACAGACCAGTCAACCTCAACTCAGTCCCTCGAAAAATCATGGAGGGGAGCCTCAAGGAATCCATTTTGAAGCACTTGGAAGAGGGGAACACGATCAGGAATAGTCAACATGGATTCAGGGCAAGTAATACCTGACCAACCTAATTGCCTTCTATGATGAGGTAATTGGCTCTGTGGATATGGGAAAGGCAGTTGACATCATATATTTTGATTTTACTGAAGCTTTTGATATGCTCTCCCTCAGTATTCTTGCCAACAAGTTAAAGAAATATGGATTAGATAAATTGATGGTAAGGTTGATAGAAAGCTGGCTAGATCATCATGCTCAATGGGTAGTGATCAATGGTTTGATGTTGTGAAGGCCAAGACTTTAGCAGGTTCAAAAACGAAATATATAAATTCATGGAGGATAGGTACATCAATGGCTATTAGTGTCCCTAGCCTCTGGCGTCCCTAACCTCTGTTGTTGGGAATGGGTGACAGAAGGTGTATCACTTGAAGATCACCTGTTCTGTTCATTCCCTCTGGGGCACCTGGCATTGACCACTGTTGACAGACAGGATACTGGGCTGGATAGACTTTTGGCCTGACGCATTATAGCCATTCTTATGTTCTTATCTTAACCAACATTACAAACATGGGGAAAGAAGCAATGAATCCCAAACGATTTAGAGTTTTAAAAATGATCAACTGTTTATTGTTTTGTCTCTTATATTTACATGGCAATTATTTATAAACCCATTATATGCCTAAATAAATAGAGTTAAAAATATTATAAGCATCACCTTGATTTTTAGTCAAAAACAAATAGATTTCTAATGTAGAGTATGGTGTAAATATAAGAAAAATGAGCTCAGCATCTACCAAATCTCCCGATCTCCCCCTAACATTGGAGCTGTTTGAGTGATATTCACAAAGAAAATTATTCACTTGATTCTTTTTCGAAAGTGTTGATCAATGTATCTATTTTTTCTATTGAGCTGCCAGCCCAATAGCAGTCCAAAGAAATCTGATGGATCATTTCTGTGTATTTTTGTCAGATAATTTTTATGAATATTATTTGTAAATTGGTGAATAAATTATTCAGTTTTTTAAATGATTCAACCATCTCTTTACTATGATGATGATATGATTAAAGGAAGCAAAATAAATCATGATAAGTGTTTTAAAAAATGTACTTGCTTCAGATAAGCATGAAAGTAGTACTTCATTGAAAGGCAAGGCAAAATACCAAAGTTGTAATAACAATGCCAATTTTTATTTACATGATATACACATACATAATATTTGATATTAA